ACTGCATGAACACTGATGATCAGGTGTACTAGCTAACCCATGGTGAGGAGGAGGACATGCAACAGGGACAGCAGGGAAACTCAGTTTTGGACTGTTACTAAAGGAACACCTCTGCTAAACCAAATAGCACATACAGACAGACGGGAATCGAGGAACAACTGTGAGAGAGAATGAAATGAGTGGGGAACAAATGTAGAGGCGTTTAAAGAGACTTTAATTGAGAAATGTCAACTTGTGACACTTCTGGAGTCGATAACCTGTATTCAAGGATTATGAATATCTGTGTGAAGGGGACTCTCCGACCTAGGACGGAAGGTGTTTTGGACAGACTGCCAATCAGGCTGGTGTTGTGACCTTCCCAGGATCGATGTGCTGGCGCTTGCCCTCAAACAGTCCACTGGGCTGTCAAAATGTTTGGTGTAATGTCATTATGTTGTCATTCATTTTAAAGATCTCCTAATGCTTCTTTTTCTTTTCTGCAACCTGTGTTCTAATGTTGCTGCAGGAGATAGATGAAAAAACAGGAAGTGAGAAAAATCGGATGTTAATTTTGTCCATACTGTGTGGTCAGAGATGCTTTCCACACTGGTTAGCATTTGAAAAGATCTGATGATGTCCACATGCTAAAATAAATGTAAAGATGTATAAGAGATGAGTTTTTTAAAGGATTTTATCATACTAATTTGGGATGGATCACATGGATAGCAATCATTTTAAGAAACACCCACATGTAGACCATTTTCAACCCCACTAGCAGAACACATTATCAAAGCATAAGGCTACAGACGACGATAATGCAATGCACCCTGTGCCCCGCATCCCCTGATGTCTGATGATCAACTTCTGATTCTTTTGGAGAAAAAAGAAGTGTCTCGCTGTATGATAAGTGACTTCATACCAGACAGACACTGGGAACATTACATACACTGCAAACTGCTGGTTAAATGGTGTGTACTTTCAAGACCTTCTGGGACTTAATTTTTCTTGATTTTTGAATTTCGATTTTTGATGTGTGGCTTTGCTGGAACTTTTTTCAACTGGATCATCAGATACCTGGACATAATTATTTGGAGGCGTCTAGCCAACTCCAACTCCCACTCCCACTCCTCTGTCTTTTCCTCCGAGGCAGAGCCAGCATCCACTTGAGCAATGATATCCTGATCAGGAAGATCCCTCGTTTCAGTTGCTCCACCTGCCCCCTAAACTTAATAAAGTGACTTTGTGTTGAACTCTGTGTTGGCTCTCTCTTTTCATCTACTTAATGAATTCAATTCTTGAAAGGCCTGACAGCCCACGTACTGTACGGTGAAGAAATCAGCTACAGTAAATCTTCAAAAACTGTATTCAGCAAAGAGATGAAACAGAGACCCATACAAAGTCCAATTTTCAGAAAGATGTAAAAAGAATTACATAAGTGCTTTTTAAGTTTGGATGGCAGATCATTGCTAATGTACCAGACTGCTGTTGTATTCTGTAGCTGTTTGAACTGCAGCAAAAGCCTAGCCATAACCGAGGTAGATGTATACCTATGGAAGCCCTAAAGGCCTCCGCACACCAACCCGACGGGACCCGACCGTCGGCAGAAAAAAGCAGTCGCGGACTGATTAGTCGGCTCCGTCTCCTCCGAGGTCGGCTTCAAAAAAAAAGCCCCCCCGAACAAACCAAAACCGGCCAAATGGAGCGTACGTTCTGCGCATGCGCGAAAGCCGTAATACGTCCCCATAACAGCAGGCGGCGCAATCTGTCGTTGTCGCCAAAAACCATGAAAAACCGGAAATGGACTGATTCACTGTAGACCTATAACACAAGCACGGCTGTCGCAGTCATTTGTTTTCATGCAGAGAGTGTTGATAGTAGTCAACAAATCGTTATGTCATTACTCGCTGAACGGAAAATACGATGCCAATAATAACAAGATACTGGCGTGGTGTTTACCATCGTCACTTCCGGTTGTGTCTCGTGCACTCACTGATTCGCTCAGTCAAGGCGAGCACTCCACCCATCAGATTGGCTCGTAGCCGTACGCCGACGCCGACTCAGACGGCACGGGACAACACCGAACCGACTCGACCACGACCTCGCCTGACTGGGGTGCACGCGGCGCCGCGGCCGGCGCGGGCGCGGGCCTGGGCGGGCCTTGGCGGGGCGCGTGTGTCGTCGTGGTGCCGGTGGCCCGGCGGGCGCTGTGGGCACGGGCGGGGGTCGTTGGCTGGCGGCCCGCGATAATCGGGTTGGTGTGTGGAGGTCATAAGAGGCAATTGGCGATCCATTTCCTGTGTGATCTAAAATGTTTTGTGAAAAAAAGGCTTTGTCAGGATAATCTTAATCTCTAAATTATTTTTGTCATCTATGAAACAGGTGGAAAATGCTCTCTAAACACAAGTGTGTTAGCAAGTTATGTAACATTACTGTCATGTCTTTGGGTTTTTCAATGTATTTTAACATTGCCTTCATTTATGACAAAAGACTTAAGAGATGGATAGGAAAGGGGCAGAGAGAGAGAGGGGACGACATGCAGCAAAAGGGAAACTTGGGAACAATTTAGATCAGACTTAGAAAACACATCACTAGAATTTCTCAGGGCTTCCGCATACAAGCCTTTAGATGGAGAACAAATCTTGACAGTGGCCTGTGCTCTATAGACCCTAAAAAAATCTAAAATAATTCTCTCTATTGTCTCTTTAATGGGGTTTAACTGTCTTACAGTTACCCAGGCAAAACAATGCTGCTGTCATTCCTTCTTAGAGGTACTTAAAGGCATATGTGGACATATGTGGAGAAATGATTTGCTTTCTTGCAGAGAGTTAGGTTGGAGGGTCGATACCACTCTTTAATTTACTGTAAACATGCAGGTAGCTTATTTTAGCATAAAGACTGGAAGCAAGGGGAAAGAGCTAGCCTGGTTCTGTCCAAAGGTTATGAAATCCGCCTTCAAGCACCCCTAAAACTCACCAATTAACACATGAAATGACAGTTTGCAGTTTTATGTGGGATTATCTGTGAGACATTTTTTTTGGCTGGGTGCATTGACTTTTCCCTGTTCCTAGTCTCTGTGCCAAGGTAAGACAGCTAGACAGATCTGAGAGTGGTACCAATCTTCTCTTTTTACTTTTAGCAATAAAGTGAATGAGACAATTTCATGAAAATGTCAAACAATTCATTTAATTAACTAAGACTGCCAGTTTTATACTTTTCAAGCTGCAAAGGAAGGATGCAGATTTAAGTGTGCTCATGCTGGCTCTGCAGTGGAAATGCAGTGCAAACTCCTGTTGATTTGTGCATTCATTTGAATATTCTGAGATATCTAACCACAGAGATATGTATTTCTTTTGATAGTTGGAGCTCCTGGAAATCTGTTTCCAGTGAGCCATGACTGCCAAAATAATCAAACCTGTCGTCTATCAGCAAGCCTTTGTTGTTCTATCTATACGGATCAAAGAACACCTCATGTAAAACCGAAAAACCTCCATAAGGAGGGACTGATTCGCCTCTATCAGCTGAAAAGGTCACTCTGTAAAAAGGTCAAAGCTTGGAATACATTTCCACCTGGAAGCAATTCTCTCTCCAATAGCCACATGCTGAGTTGGACCACTTATGCAGATCTACACCTTAAACCTGTTACAAAGAGTTTTTAACTAATGTATGAAACAGTATTAATTTAATACTGAGATATGATCTACATAAAGAAACAAGACCATCAGCGAGAAGACTGGCTATACTATGCAGTTATTCTTAATGCCACCACCACCTGCCACAAGGTTGAATTCCCCATGAAATCAGATGAAA